CGTCGTGACATACGCTGCCAACTGCACAGAGCGATATGTCTTACCATGATTCCACGTCATCCTTACGTCCTTGCTCTTTCATTTGATGAGCAGCTCTGGATGCATACCGCCTTGTTCCCATAAATGATACCTTTTCACGAGGTTCCCTGGAAGAGATTTTAATTGAATGTCCTCTCTACCTTTAATTGAATGTCCTCTCTACTGAACTATTTTGGAACGTACGGTATGATTCCATCATCTCCAGCGATACGTTTGGCAATGCCAAAATCTAGCATGAAAATGGTTTCATGTGATGGTCGATCGATTCCTATTGCAAAGTTGGCGAGTTTCAGGTCCCTGGAACAACCCTTTTTCAAAAATTGCCTATGGTTTCCCTAGGTGCAACTGCTTTCATTACTTTCTTTTTACATTCTGACGTTTAGAATTGCGCAGATTACGCCTTGCATGCAAAATATGGACAGAGCATGCTCTAAACGAATTGTGGCCGTAGAATGTGGCTATTACGCGTGTGTTTGCGGAACGGTCAGTTTTCAAATGGTCACATTTACTGTTGATAATGTATTCAACCACATTATCCAAAGGCGATTCTTACGCTAAACGGACTGCAGTTGGGTTTCATGCAGTGATTTCGGAACAGTACGTAGGGATGCTTGCCTCCACAGGGAAGTTCGCTATCAACCGACCGATCGACTAGGTTTATGTAAGAGGTGGTAGGAAACGTAGTCCGTGGTGAGTTATCCGGAGTCTTTGATTACAGTATTCTTTAGAATCTTTCAAATACCCCTAAGCAGGCAGTCGGCATTATATTAACAATTTATGCCCTGTTAACACGAATCTTGTTGGAATTTTATGATGGCGCGTCTGTGCGATGCTGACCGCTACGCGACCTCGCGCATTATTTTCACGCTCTTCGACCACGCCATGGTGATCATGGTCGATTACGTTTTTGCCATTTTCGGCCGTTCAGACTTGAGTGGCATCTCTGTTGTCATACCTGTGTAGAAATCCAATGTCGTGTAGGTCACGTACAGCATTCAATGTCTGCACGCAAATTTTGATAGCCGTTTGTTTTCTGAAATCATCCGGAATCTTCGAAACAGTGTCCTGAGGGCTCGCAGGAGATGGCATGGTGGCCAATTCTACTTGTGCGAGAGGTCGTGCGAATTGTGGTCATCTCCACTCTTGCTTCATAAAAAGAATTTCGCATTTTGTGTGGTATAGTTCACCTATTTTAGGGAAAGGAACCTATTTTAGAGTCCCCCTAGTCCCTAACCTCCTCCCCGCGCCTAAAAAATGTTAACCATGGATTCAGAGGAAGTCCTGCTCATCTTCTCCCACCTGTGAAAGCCGTGTCTCACCTTCTCCCACTTGTGTTTTTATGGTTTCGATTGTCCTCTGTCCACTAATATTCGCTCCTCCCTTTCCTTCCACTCTCTCCCTCCCCGTTATTGACAAAGTTCCATTTGAACTGCTACCTCACACCAGCATGATCGTGGGATCCATCTGACCCTGACCAAGTACATTTTCCGATCTCGGGTTCATATTCCTTGTGCCAGCAGAGCTAATTTCATGGGATGAAAGGATGGGTGTAGCAGAGATGCAAATACTTCTGCGAATGCAAGATTGCCTCAGTGCATGGCGTATCTTTTTGATTACGGCAAATGTCTAAGTAACTTTTCAAGAAAAGGCATTCGTAAAAAAGCGAAAGCAACGACTTACGAGAACTGAGCATGACTGAGCACTTCACGACGGATCTTGTCCAAACTCATTCCGACTATGGGCATAACGATAAATTTGAACTTTGTTGTCACTCCTCGATCGACCAACCGCAAGAAATGCTTACGGTATTGAGCAGTACTGCAGGCGTTGAGTACGGTAGCTTCTACCTGAGATGAGCTTCAGATTTTCAGGAAAAGATCTACATCTGGGCCCATTTTCACCTTCACACCTTTAATCTATTCAACCGTGAATCGATATCGACGTCTTCTGTCTTGAGCGCATAGAATTCATCAGTTCCCAATTGCTGTACTTTGTAGACGTCTCCGAAACCACCTGATCCCAGCAGGCTGACTATCTTGTACCTGAAATGTGTGGGAGTTTTTGAATGGATTCGCAGCACGGTCCTAATAAACTCCCTACTTGTTACTGGGAGAGCAGACGTTTTCTCCAGTTGGGATTAGAGGCCTTTTTCTCTTCTTTCCTGGAACAGCTTGGCTCAAGCCTACAGAAGAGATGTCTTCGAGCAAGACCCGTACCTTTCTCGCCCATGTCGACGTCGGTACGGAAGTAACGTTCACTTACGGGTGAAAATAATTGACACCCCCTACCTCCACCTTTTATACTTCTTCGATAGTGATAATCAGTCTTTTACGAGTAAACATATTCTGATAGAGCGTAATTTTTCGATTGATTATGTAAAAAGTGCTGCAACTTTCTGATCTCCGGGTTGGCCATGTCAGAGTAAAGCCCGAATTTGTCGCACGCGCAGCGAGCGACAAAATCGCGCGATGGACTTTATGAACCCTTCAGGCCATTGCTCAGTCTACCGTATAAAAATGCCTTGGTTAATCCTGCAGAAGTTTGCTCGTCGTTGCCTGCTGACTAAATGGCACACTTTCGAGCCTCCACATCTTTGAGAATAGTGGCTAGTCGTACAGCACGGCTTTTTTTCAGTTAGTGGGATCGAGATCAGGTCGTCCATTTGCCAGGGTGACTACATAGCTCAACAGTTGTCTGGGAGAAGAAAAACTCCCGTTGGATGTTGTTGAACTCCCATGAAACTTGTCGTATGAAATGAGCACGATTTCAACTACCAGCTCGATTCTGAATGGAAGTGAAGGGCGAGGCGCATCCGATGTGGTTAATACTGACCTATCCCTTCATTCAAACAATTTCCTTATTCTTGAAGGGAATCTTTGACTATATTGACGATCTAAATGTTAGGAACCAATGCCGTGGGCGATATTCGAACCTGTGGGCAGTGCAATTACGACGCAGTTTCGTCCGCTGAATCTTTATCGACTGAACTATTTTTACTTTTTTTTTATTTTGACCATTCAACTTTCTCTTCAGGACCTACCACCTAGTGCTCCACCCATTTAAACAAGTCCCATAGTGAAGACTTCCTAAGGCAGGTTGTTCATTGTCCGTGATTGCGGTGCGTTTCTACCGTACGCATAAAAAGCATTCTTAATGCATTTTCGTTGGAGCTCCTGCACGATAAAACTGCCATGTTGGCGGTCTTGAATCTCGAGTTTTTTATTTTTAGAATTTTTAAAGCCAAGCATCTTTACAGTCACGTTTGAAGATTTAGCTGTTTTCAAATAGTAGCCAATTCATGCAGTTTAAAGGAGCTCTTACGCTGTTCATGGGTCCAACATTGATTTCCGAGCAATTCTTTGATGTAGAAACGCTTATCTTGCTCTCATCCTTCATTGAACCTCTTATTTTTATATGTACCTTGTTTGCCTTCGTTGAGACATCCTCCTTTCGTTGTCGCTGACTGAGCGCTTCGATGCTCTTCGAAATGAATTCTGATGAATTTCCAATATCACTTTTTTTCAGGTTACCTCAAACACCATCTTACTCGTAATCTAATTTACTGTCCAATAGACGGGTATTAAACAGCGAAAATGAATCGGAAAGGGCCTATGCAAAAGAATGAAGAAACCGACAAACCTTTACGAATTGCCATTGTGGAGAAGGATCGATGCAAACCGAAAAACTGTGGGCTTCTATGTAAACGGAGCTGTCCTGTGAACAAAATGGGTGAGTTTTTTGGAGGCCATTGCTATCAGTCGAACTTTCGTTTTCTTGTAATCTTTCATTCAGGTTACTGATAACAGCTATTTTAAAATAAATATGAAACACTTTTGAAGTTTTCCAACCATTTCATATGGGTTGAGCTCGCTAATGAGCTTCGATTGTTCTTGTGGAGCTCGAATTAGTGTGGAATGTTAGGATTTGGAACTATTGTATTTGATATTTGTCAGTAGTTTGAAGTAATAATGAGCGCGTTTTGAAATTTCTGACCCAAACCCTGTGATGCTCATAAAACTGATGCATATCGATTACCGATAGGTATAAATTCTATGAGCTTTCAAGATCATTTGATTATATTATACTATCAGTTTTCCTACTGTATCTCTGATTCAACAATAAAGGTAGATAAGTATCGATTCTTCTCTTTTTCCTTTGTACGGTTTTCGTATCAGTGTAGAGGGACGAGATCTATCCAGCTTTTCAGAGCAATCCTAGCAGCGAAGCAAACTATATTTCAATGTTTGACGCTGAATAATGTGTTATTTAGGAATATTTTCATAGTAAGAATGTCTAGCATAGGTCCAGTATTCATTATCTCTGAATCTGCTTGTCATACCATCACAATTTGTTGAACAATTAATCAAGGCACTAGTTGAATGAGTTAAAACAGAGTTAAAAAATTATAGTACATGTTGTTATTCACAAAACCAAAATGGAGACTGAGTTTGACATTAATTTAGGTAAACAGTGTATCGTCGTCGAGGCAACATCGTCTATTTCTCAAATCTCTGAAGTCCTATGCATTGGTTGTGGTATATGCGTGAAAAAATGTCCTTACAATGCCATTACAATTATCAATCTACCGACTAACCTTGCACATGAAACTACACATCGCTATTCAATGAACTCGTTCAAATTGCATCGGCTGCCCACCCCACGCACTGGAGAGGTATGACTTCATGTTATTTTTTTT